CATAGCAATCTCAGGCTTATGCACAGCTACTTGGCCATGGAAAACTATTTCATGTGGCTCCCGACAAACAGTTCTTGTGTTCTTAAATATAGTCAAATGTATCCAGTATTTCCTACTATAAGATTACAATAAACCAAATATAAGATTATTAAACCTAATCTGAGACATTTTTACTCATTTCAAGCTTGAAAAGTCTTGTTCTATTGGCAGATAATTTTGATTCTTTCTAGAAATAAATGCTTCAAAGGGGCAAAATTATCTGCCAAAAGGACCAGAATGCTTCAAGCTTGAAATGAATAAAAACATCTAGAAATAGGTTTAATAATCTTATATTTGGTTTATGGTAATATTATAATAGGAAATACTAGATATATTTGAAAATATTCAAGCTATTTTCACTTGCTAAGGTGTCATTTTTTTTTTTTGCAATGAGGACAGATGATGCCTGCTACACAGATCAGCACTTTTTTTTGACGATCCTGCTCAGTGAGCATGCATGGTCTACCTCTTTATGGCTGAGCTGTTGTTATTCTGAAGTGGAAGGATTTAAGAGCAGCAGCACTTAGAGTTGACCGAGGCACCTCTAGCAGAGCAGAAATTTGAGAAACTGACTTGTTGCAAAGGTGGCATCCTCTGACAGTGGCACATTGAATGTCACTGAACTCTTTAATATGACTTGTTCTACTGCCAATATTTGTCGATGAATAGTTGAACCCAGGAATTAGAAGGGGTGTCCACATGCTTTTGGCCATTTAGTGTATTTCAGCAAGCAATCACCTTCACCAAACATTTCATCAAGCTGCTGATCAGACTTGCACTATAGGTGGGACAAATTATAGAGCATTAGTTATTACAAAACTGTTTCAGTTTGTTAATATTAAAGGAAATCCCATGATGAAATGCTCTCTTCAGGTCATGTCACAATACCTCAACTGGCATGAGGATGGACATTGTCTTGGCCATCCAGAAAATAAATAATATGTTTAAACCATTCAGTTCATGGCTTACTCCTCTGTTTCAGGTCACTGTACTTTCACACTACCCAAATTGTATTAGGTAGATTAAATATCTGACAAATTATACAACCTCACTTTAAATACATTATATTACATCTTTTCTTATTAAACTATATATGCATATATATATATATATATATATATATATATATATATATATATATATATATATACATATATACATATATATATATAAACAACAGACTTCAATAGTAAGCAGAATCGTTCACAAATCCTTTTAAAATGCAACAAGTCACTGGCTATCAGAGAAAATCCATAAACTCTCTCAAACCTTTACATTATAAAGGAATTAAGTATTTTCTGTTCCATCTGTGTGCTGTCGTAGAGCCCGAGCAGAGAAGCCATACAGGAAGGGGTTCACACAACTGTTAATGAAAGTCAGAGCTGCAGTAATAGTCTCACCAGATTCTGCAGATCTTAACAGATTGTCATTCCCAAGCAACGCAGCAGTGATGATCACAATGTTGGAGATTTGTAACGGGACCCACAAAATAAAGAAACATGCCACGATTCTGGTCACCAGCTTCGTCAATGACTGACTGCTAAAGAAAGCTGAGTTACTAACTCCTCGGTAAAGATGAAAGTAGAAGAAAGTCAGTGTGGGGAACAAAACCACAAAAAGTATAATCTCCCAGATTAAAGTAGCCACTCTTTCAACATCATTCTGATAGTGTAGTCTGCATTGAAGGTGTCCTTCCTTGTCAGTAGTTAGCGTGCGCTGTACGAGAGCATAGGACGATAACACTCCACTTAGAATCCA